CCACTGCTTGACTGCTTTTGCCTTTGCCATCATCGGCAACCCAAGGTAATATTATATTAGTATCTAGTTCTTGTTTCTTTTGTTTTCTTGAATTTATAATTAATGTTAAAATTTTAAGCAAGAGAATTAATTACCTTACATATTGGATTCATTTTTGGGGTTTTGTACTTTTTATGTGATAATAATTTTGTTCTTTTTTTAAAAAAAAAAAATAATTTATTTTCATGCTAATGATGTTGATTTAATTTTAATCGTTTGATGAGTTTATTGTGTTTCAAACTATTTTAGATTTATGTACTGTTAGATATGGTTTTGAATCAAGCATATTTCTCCATATCTCATGACTTGATTGATTGAATAGTTTAACTTTTAATTGGTGTTTGGCCTATAAGCTATCTTTGAATATGTTTACCCATTGAATTGAAGCTATATGCAATTTTCATTTTAATCAATTGAGATGGCTATTTAAGGACCGGTAGCCTCTCATATCTATCACCACATTCAAAGGATGGATAACCTAAAGAAAGAAAAATCCAAGATGCCACATGAAGAAGAAAGCAAAAAGGAAGAAGAAAGGGCTCAACAGACAAGTAAGGCCAGAAGGACTCTTGCAAAGTTCTCAAAACAAGAACGGAGAGACCTCAAGAAAGATCTTGACGATCCAGATTTCAATGAAAATATCTGGGACTTCATCGACAACCTTCCTTTGACCCACTACCCAAATCCCGAAAGTGATACAGAGTCCCTTGTGTCACTCAACACATGGAAGAGGGAAACCAAAGAACTGTTAGATGAAGAAGACTCTGACGAAGAGGAATCCTTCTCAGTGGATGGACCAAGCTGCAAGAAGGAAGGAGAGAAGTGATCTCCTTCCTGTAAATGAACACAAGTTCTTTTATTATGTCTAAATGTAATAAGTGTTCATTTTCAAATGAATAATATGAATCTATTTGCAGCTTCTCTCTTAATCATTGCGAAACTTTATTTGATTTGTAATGATTCTTCATCTACGGGACCAACAAGGGATAGGGTCAAATCAAATGATAAATGGTCACATGTATACATGACACATAAGCAAGCAGAGAATATTGGGATGAAATCAATGCCGATTGAAAAACCGCAAATGCATTGAATGGTCATTAAATTTTACCTAAAATTGAGACCCGTAATCTTCAAATCTGTAGCTATAAAAGGCATAGATTGCCAAGCATGGAAATCACCCTTCTCACATCAAATCTCTTATACAAGAGAAAAGGATCACCATGCCTCCTCGCAAGCCACATACTAGAGATGCTGCCAAGAGGCAAAAGGAAGTTGCTCGAAGGATTCGAGAAGAACAAGGTGATTTCTACCCCGGGAATAAAGGAAGTTGCTCGAAGGATTCGAGAAGAACAAGGTGATTTCTACCCCGGGAATAGCCTGAGAGCTAGCTCCCTTGGAAATCTCATCTGATAGTGAGCCATTTCCGCACCATGAAGGTTTCTTGGCAAATGATCCTGCAAATGCTCCTCTCGTGGATCAACACGAAGCACCACCGCTTGTACCCGCAAGGAGAGCATTCCCATCTGAGGAAGATTGGAAAAACCCAAGCTTTGACAGAGACTATCTCACCTTCCTGAGCACATATGATGGCAAGCCTGAACTCAGACTGAAGATTGACCTGTCTCTTCTTCCGGCTCCAATAGAATAGAGACTACAAAATGGTTCATCCGAGAGATGGGCAAAATCCTCAAGGCCAAGGAAGGGATAAGCAAGAGCTCGAAAGGAAAAGAGAACAAGTAGCTTTCCTTTCGTATCTATGTTGAGAACTTTTATGTATGAAAAAATCCGGTATCATGAATAAGAAATAAAGTCTCTTCGCTTCATGACTATATTTATCAATGCGCGTCCGAAACTTTATTTGTTTCATATCAAATTATCAAAGAAAACGAATCGTGTCTGATTCAGTTTATGACGCGATATCGATATTCAGTCTAAGTAACGTGTGTCAGGAATACTCCAGAAAGAAGCAATCCTTGCCTTGGAAACAATAATTAGTCTCTCTATGATCAATGATTCCTTGAATGCTTCTAAGATTCGAGTTTCAGTGATCGGTCATTCTGATCTATCACGTCTTGAAGACATCACAACCCGTGACCTTAGTTCATCTATATAAAGGACTTGCTTCAACAAGGTTTCAAACACATCTAAAATTTTCGAGAAAATGGACAAAGGGAAGAACGTTGTGTACTCAAGCTTGTTCAGCACTAAGGATGCTGCTAGACGTGAACGAGAAAAGTTGAGAAGAATCAGACATGCACAAGGTGATCTATGCCATGGAGAAAGTTCGAAAGATAAATTGGAACTCATTGCTGAAAACTTTCCTCTAGTTCTTACTCCGAATGAAGCCCCACTCCCAATCACTCAAGCTGATGCCTCTTCAACCAAGAATCTCATTGAGACCTACATCAACAATCCCTTGTATGATAGGGATTACATAATATGGCTTCATGATCTCCCTTGCAGTGACCCCAACAGTGAAGAAGAAGAAACTAATGATGAGTCGGACTCTGTTCTGATTGATCTGCTTGCTTTTGAACTCTTCCGTAAAGATTTCATTGAGTAGAAAACTTTTGAGCTCAAGAAAGGGAAAGCCAAGAAGTGAGATGGAAGAAACTAGGATCATTTATCAAACTATGAAGTGATTAAGAGAATGCTGGACTATGATATGTATTGAGATGATATGTATGTTCTATATTTCGTGTATGTTCTCTAATAAATCATCTCTAAGTTTCGTGTTCCTAGATAATGATATCTTCGAAACATCTCACACACGAAAGGACATCAATCGGCTTCACGAAACTTTATTTGTTTCGTGGAGAATCATGAATCTCCGCTTTTGATTCAGTCAAGACATCATATCTCATAAATCAGACGGTTATTTGAAAAATCCAAACCCAACCGTTCGATGCAGTTAGTGGAGAAAATCGTGTGGTCGAGAAAATCGGTCCATTACCCCATAATCACGCATGATCGTGTCAGATGAAAGGACGGGTATTAAATGCCCATGCCTCGTACTCGAGTGCATTTCTCTCTCCTCATTTAATTGGAATGATACCTTTTGATATGATATTTACCTTATCAGATGATCTTCCACAGAAGTGTTACCTTATATATACATTTTGTTATAATTTGCCCAAGACAAAAGTGAGCCTTGCCCATACCCTTTTTAATTCAAATACCGGGTCATCCATTAACCCGACCCTAAGAAACCGGGCATATACTATTTAACCTAAACACATATACCCATAAACCTTTTCCTCTCCACTACGTCTCTTAGCCATCTCCTCCCTCTCAACCAAAAACCTCTGTATTCTCTTCACAACCGGCACCAATGGCAAAGAAATCCAGAACCAAAGCTTCCACCAAAGAGGCTGAGACTACCGCCGTCGAACGGTTACCATCGTTTCCTTCCACCGACGAGTCATTCATCAAGTCGAGAGAGCATTACATTGCTTGTGGTTATATGTGGGATGCACATAGTTTTCTTCAACACGTTCTGGATAAAAAGTTTGGAGAAAAGATTATCAATCTGCTCAAGGATAGCGGCATGTATAGTTCTGTTACTCATGTCTACACCTTCGTCTTCGCCTTTGACGTTACCCAATTCTATCTAAACGCGAAGGTGTCCTCAGATGCATCAGTCATTACCTCTGAGGTGAATGGAACGACCATTTTCTTGACCAGTGAAGACATCAAGAAGGCTTTTGGCTTTCCAGACAGAGATGAGTCCTACCACTCAAATCTCTCGCAATAAGTTTTCGACCAAAGTGCCTTCTTTGGCAGCATCAGAAACGCTCAGAGTCGATAAGAGATCAAGTGGCCCTTGAAAAAGAAGTGGTTCAAACTGGACTATGAATTTACTGCGGATATCTTCAACAAAATTGTAGATCACAAAACATCAGGAACAGATGATGTTACACAAGATAGTCAAGCCAAAAATTGATTAAGTACAGAGTTAGATGTGGAATGGTAAGTCTAGACTTATAAGTCGTATACATAATATCATTAAACAATTTCTCACAACGGGGTTATCTCTATTGACTACGTGATGTCAAAAGATAATGTAGCGGCCGCTAACTCGCTAACCCGAGGGTAAGCAAATGGTTGTGGAGAAGTTGGAACGAGGAATGGGTCTAAAGTCATTGGACTAAAAGTTCTATAGTGGATACCCAAACTAGCTGGCACCTAGGTTCAATGGGACAACTAAATTATGGAACGGAACGTGTCACTGTGGGGGTCTCGGACTCCCTACCACTCTCCTCATTAGAAACAGTGACTCCCGCACGAGACTAGCACGTTGATGCTTTAATGATTCGAATGTCGGTTGACATATGTGAGTATGCAGGATACTCGAGAAAGAATCACCTATGTAAGAGAGAAGTGAGAGTCGCTTCAAAGGAGAATTTATGGGCACATTTCTTTAGAAACTCTCGTAGAACCAGGAACAGTGACCCACGACCAAAATGGGCACACACATGAGAACAGAGCATGGTTGGGAGGTTCCTGTGTGAGATATGTCATTGTCTAGACAAACGACAGTCGGTTCAAAGACATCACGTTCTACCGTACAGCTAGTAGAGTAAACATGTCTTCACAAGGGAAGGTTCAAAGGGTGCGGTACCCCCTACCTATCCTATGCAGGGATCGACCGTTTGAACACAGCTGTTTCCGATTTCAAAATACCCTGAAATTTAATTTTTCATTCATGTGGGGGATTGTTGAAAAAATAGCATTAAAATGGCATTTTAAGTGGCTATTTTGTGGTACAATTATCAGTGGTACAAATAGCATTAAAATGCAAAGATGAAATTCTTTAACTAATGAAAAAATGCTATTGTATGTATATATTCATAAGAACAAATTGCACTTTTGGTCCTGTGACTATTAGGGTGTTGATAATTTGAGCACGTGACTTTCAAAATTCTCAATTTAGACCTTTAACTATGCAATTATTAGCAGATTTGGTCCTGCCGGCCAAATTGACGGTCAATTTTGGCCGGAAAAACATTTTATGGTTCGAATTTATTTATGATGAGGGCAAAAGCGTCATTACAAGTGAAATTAAAGTGGGGGGGGGGGGGGGGGAATGATTTCGTTTCCCCGGCATTGCAAGCGTCATTGCAGCGCTCCATCGGCATCGACCAGAACGGCAACACCAATCCCGCATGGAACAACAAGTTTTCGTTTCGGGTCACCGATGAATTCCTCAACTCCGAACGTTCCGCTGTGAACGTTGAGATTTACGCCTCATCGTGGTTCCGCGGTGTGCTCGTTGGGATGGTCCGCGTCACTACCAGCAATCTCATCACGTCGATCGCCGTCAATGGCCAGAGATTCGTGGCTCTTCAGGTTCGCCGTCCATCCGGTAATCATCAAGGAATACTGAACATGGCGGTTGGCCTATATCATCACCTGCTCTTCTGCAAACTCCAGGGGGAGTAGAAAAGCCGGCGCCGGCAACCACCTCCTGCTTCAACTGCAACTGTTTCAGCTGCTACATGAGCTACTTGCTGAGGTGAGACTCATCGCCCAACCGGCAGCTCATCCACGAAATCATCGACGCTTATGAGGACAGCCCGTAATTGCAGAGCAAGAAAAACAAGAGAGAGAATAGAAGAAACAAGGCTAACAACAATGGCGTAGAGGAGGAGGAAAACGAAGTCGGAGGTGAGTTTAACCTCCGACGAGCACCGTCGTGCCAACGGAGGCAACGACAGTGGCGTAGACGAGGAGGAAGATGGCGGTGAGAAAGGCACAGTCAGAAGGATTGTTAACTTTCTGGGAGAGAGAATTTGGACTTGAAAAATCTTTCTCAAGGTCTCTGCTCATCATCATCTTCATCGTCTCCTTTTTTTTTTCTTTTTTTTTTCTGGGTTGTGTAAAATATGCCTTGTCGCCGGTGAACTGTGCACAGTGCCTAGCCATTACCGTCGGGAAAAACTTCCCTCCCTCGATTCGCCGGAAAAATCCACCGTCGCCGCCGCCGGAACGAAATCCGTCGCTGCAAAGATGAAGAAGGGAGGAGAATGGAGAAGAAGAAAGAGTGTGAAAGGACTACTTTGCCCCTCTGATTAATTAATTAAAAATGATTTAAAATTTTCCGGCCAAAATTGGCCGTCAATTTGGCCGGCACGACCAAATCTACTAATAATTGCATAGTTAAAGGTCTAAATTGAGAGTTTTGAAAGTCACGTACTCAAATTATCAACATCATAATAGTCACAGGACCAAAAGTGCAATTTGTTCTATTGATAATTAAAGTGTAATGATTTTGAAAAAGATGTCAATAATTTTTTTTTCAAAAAAAAAATTGGGAGGAAAGGGGAGGGGTACTCGAAACAAACTCTCAAAAACTCAAACAACCCTCCTATGCAGGGCCATTCTAGCTTTATCAATCTCAAGTTGATCACTAATAACTTTCATCGTTAGATCATGGAACTCGGTTCAATCACAATTCCTGCGATGGACCAATTTAGCCCGCAAATCAACTACACGGTTGTATTCACGAGAGAACGTTTTATGGTCACCTCCCAATCTTTGAGCATCCGGTCTCTGCATGCTTGAGCAATCGTCCCACGGGGTCCATGCCAAAAAATTATTGATATCTTTAATTGATATCTTTAACCAATTACTAAGATGCCAAATTACTAAAAATGTTAATGAATTACTTAATTCAATCTTTATTAACCGTTCAATGAATCTAAGTAAAATTACTGAATTAACATTATATTTTTGTTTAAGAATTTGAAATTCTAATATTTCTCATGTATGCATTTCATACTCAATACAGAAATATCTCGTACTCTTAAATTAAATTCAATACATTTATTATGCATCGGCAAAATAAGAAAGAAAATATTAATCAATCTATTAAATGAATACTACATATGATAAATCTTTGTATTTGGTCAAAATTGAAAAATAATTTTGGAATTTCAATAAATATATGTTATTGTAATAAATATTCTTTTAATTTTTATAAACGTTGTGTATTTACCTCATATTTTCAGTTTTCAAAATTTTTTTATATATATTTTATAAAAAGAAAATTGATTTGAATGGCAAGAGTTAGTTTGAATATCCAGAAGAAATATGTAGAGAATTGAAGATATTTTGTAGGATAGTCAAACTCTAGATCTTCTACAGAAGATATGAAAGTCCGATAGAATTAGAACTTGGAAAAATTGCATGTCTCAAGAGATGCACAAAAGTTAGTAGAACTGATGTTCCAATGTTAGAAGAGGTTCACTCAGGTTTCAAGACTCTATCTGAGTAAAGTTCTAAAAATAAATAAAAATAATGTAAAGTTATATCCATGGAAAAGATATTACAATTGAAGATATATGATGACGTCAGCCCTAGAGTTAGTATGTAGCTTGCAAACCCCAATTCTTTGTGGGCCAAAAATTATTTGTTATAACTTCTTCACAACGGGATGATTTAGGACCAGCCCACGAGATTAAACCCTAATACCTACCCCTAGTTTTACTCCTTCCATCTCCGCTCCTCACTCCCCTCTATAAGAGTTTCAGCCCTCCACCAGACACTTAGCTTAGATCTCCTCTTCTTTTTTTTTCTTTTTTTTTTCTCCTTTTTTTTTTTTGAAAATTACCTCCTCTTCTTTACTACTTCTGCTTTTGCCCAGGTCTTCTTGTCAACTTCTCCTTTCAATTTTAATCACTCAAGGTAAATTACTATGTTAGTCTCTGATTCTTATTTATTTCATTTCGTTGAATTTTGAGTTCAAGTTAATTAAATTTTTTTTAAGCAAGAGAATTACTTTTCAAATTGGATTCATTATATTTTTGGGTTGATGTGATAACTACTTTAAAAAGATCTTCTCTTTTTTTTGTGCTAATGAGAAATTTATAATTTTCATTTTTTATTCTGACAATGGGCTGACGTAGTCATGCTAGATGGACCTTTGATGAATGTTGAGACCAATTATTTATTCGAATTGTTTTATGAAAAATGGCATTGTTTAATTCCTTCGTTGTTTTAAATTGATTAAATTTTAATTGTATGGTGAATTGATTGTGTTTCAAATTGTTTTAAATTCTTATATATAAAGTTAGATATGTGTTTGATGGAACATCAAAATTAAATATTAAACACTTCTATTACATTATGATGAGAATATAATTGTGTTGTATTCAATGATAATGTCTGAGAGTACAGAGAACGAATATATAGAGATGCTAGATAGAATCGTAGTCTAACACGAATAATATAGTCCTAGTCTAATATGAATAATATAGTCCTAATACTCCCCCTCAAGCACAAGGTTGGCTAGCCAAAACATTGAGCTTGTCACGGAGAGAGTTAAAACGAAGAGACGACAGAGACTTTGTGAAAATATCCACTAGTTGATCCTTGATTGAAATAAAGTGCACTTCTAACTCCTTTTTGGCTACTTTATCGCGAACAAAATGATAGTCAATCTCAATGTGATTCGTGCGAGCATGAAACACTGGATTGACACATAAATAAGTAGCTCCCAAATTATCACACCATAGTCGAGGAGGAGACGCATGCGGGATGCTGATTTCATGTAACAGAGAAACGAGACATGTAACTTCTGCAGATACATCAACGAGTCCCTTGTATTCTGCTTCAGTCGAAGAACGTGTCATAGTCCGTTGCTTCCGTCAAACCCAAGATACAAGATTACTGCCCAAGAACACAGCAAAGCCACAAGTAGATTTGCGGTCATTCGGATTGCCAGCCCAATCTGAGTCAGAATAGGCGTGAATATCTATATATGTAGACCGAGAAATACGCAGGCCAAGATTCAGGGTCCCTTTGACATACCGCAGGACTCTCTTTAGAGAGGCCCAGTCTGTAGTAGTGAGAGAATGCCTATGTTGACACAATAGATTAACAGCAAAAGATAGATCCGGACGAGTTACTGTAAGATACTGGAGAGCACCAGCAAGACTCCTGTATTGTGTTGGATCGGCATAGGGAACGACCACGTCGTTTGTGATTTTCGCAGAAGAGATAGGCGTGATTACTAGCTTGCAGTCCACCATGACAGCACGTTTGAGAATATCATTCATGTACCGTTGTTAGGATAAAAGCATACCGCCAGATAACGGGACAGTTTCTATTCCCAAGAAGAAAGAAGGCACACCCATATCACGAACCTTAAATTCAAGTGCTAATTTATCAATAAGAGCAATAACACGATCTGAGTCAGAACCCATAATTAAAATGTCATCAACATACACCAAGAAATAAAGACGAATATTGTCACGAGAATAGATAAAAAGAGACATGAAATTTATATAAGCGCAGCACACAGTGATGTTGAACTGACGTTGTAACACAAACGATCTGTAACGCAGTTCGGGCAAACAACCCTAATCTGCGAGGCACTTCTTAATTTGAGAACTTTCCTAAATCTACTAAAAGCTCAATATTTAAAGTACACTGTTTGGAACCTGAGATTACACAATAGAATGATCTTTCCTACCAAACTATTGAAACCTAAACACATGTACTACTTTCTAGGGGAATTTAGTATCCTATTCTCAAAGACTCTCGTACCTCACAAGATTAATGTTGAATGCTTGATCTTTGTGATAAAGGACAACCCCTATTTATAGTAGCTACTTCTAACAGATTTGTGAATAATGATGTTATTCCTAATCAAACTAGAACTAGTATTCTTCAATATCTATTCCTTTTAGGACAACATTCCTTCATAGAACTGGAAACTTTTTCGCACATAACTTTGACAAGGTCTTTGAGTCAACAATCTCCCCCTTTGTCAAATTTTTGGCAAAATCCTTGATTCCATAAAAAGCTTGGCATTTGAATCATTTCCCCTTTAACTGATTCCATGTATCTCTGTTATTGGTGAGTGTTATATTTGAGTATGATTTTTTTTAAAAAAATTCCCAATTAAATCAACCTATCACAACTAATTTCTCCTCTGATTTATTATTCCTCTGTTATTACCGCCAACGCCTTTGATTTCATCACTTCTCCTCAATCGCGACATCCCGAAGGGAAATTGCACATAAGAGGAGCACGACGCCAAAGCTGAGACAATCTGTCGAGAATTCTTTTAATCGGAGATGTATTCTGGCCATGCAAACTTGAATCCACAGAGATTCCATCAATCGGTCACTTCTACCTTACAATCTCATCTAGATTTCCTGACCGGAATTTCGAATGTACTAATTCCGCGCCATCATTAATTTCTGGAAATAACATAAAATCCGGTGAAAGCTCTTCCAAATGATCTCTAAAATATCCGATCTGATCTTCATGGGATAACCTAGACGAAACTGGAATTTCTCCAATTTCCGGTGACATAGTCGTCGTCGGAAAACGCTCCGTTGCCACCGCCAGACCACCCTCGCCCTCCAGGGCTGTCTTGCACAAAAAGGCTGGTGGTGGTTCACGTTCGTCTTGAATATTTTGGTAGGGTTCCTTTGAAATCAGAACAGGGCTCATAATGATCGTTGCAGAGCCATCATCCTTTTCTTCATCTGGTTTTGTTTCTGTTTTGTGATTCTGCATAACAGTAGTAAGAGGTGTTGGAACAGTTGTTTCAAAAACTCTGGAACTTTCGTCATCATTAGTGGTTATTCTTGAAATTGTGTCATTAATAACCACATTCATGGATTCCATTGTACTGTCTACACGGAAAGTCTTACTGTTTGATGAATAACCTGAATAGTCTAGGAATATTTCTTGGTCCCCTTTGATGTCATGAGAATTTATGTGTCCCATATGTTGGTGTCGTGATTGTTTTTGCTTGTTGGTTGTCTGTAAACCAGATAGGTTACCATCCCATGTATAGCATTTGTTTGCGGACCTTTTTCCCATCATGACACACTTTTGATTCTGATTAAACACAGTGCAAATGTCTTTAGAGAATTCTACTTTGAGTTCATCTTCACAAAGCTGACTTATGCTGATTAGATTGTTTATAGACTTTGTACTAGGAGGACTTTTGGCAACCTAGGCAGCCCATGGACATTCAAGATGCCGCTTGCAATGATCTGGCATTTTCCTCCATCTCCAAACGTAATATGTCCTTCATTCTTATACTGAATCTTTTCCAGATTTTCTGGATTTCCAGTCATATGCCTTGAACACCCGCTGTCAAAATATCATATGTTTTGTTTTTTGCTAGTTTTTGAGGTGTAGGCAACATTATGATCTTTTCTTACCCAGATTTTCTTGCTTGGTACTAACCAATCTCTGTTGATTTGTCTGTAATACAGATCATGTTGTCTTTTGAAGCAGCATGTTTTTATGTGCCCCAGTTTGTGACAGTAATAGCATTGATCCTCCTTCGGTGTTGGAAGTGATGTTGCGACACTTCAGGAATTTCAGAAGAATGACTTTCATTGGACGCTGGATTTGGAGATCTAGGCCTCTCAGTTAGTGCCTTGATCTCTTGTAATAGTTTGGCCTCTCTTCTTTTCGACTCCATTAATTCATTCTGAGTATCTTTAAGGCGTTTTTCATTACTCTCTTTTTCATCTTTTAGAAACTGATTTTCATGTATGAGTTCAAGATTTACTTTGATTATTTGTTCCCATTTAGCATGCAATTGTGTATATGACTCTAGCAGTTCTTGTATATCATTTTCGTTTTCGTTTCCGTTTCATTCTCATGATTTGTGGTGAATGCTACGAAATTAGTGTTGGTATCTTATTCACTGTCTGAGTCATCGCTTAGTGTTATCACATATGTTTTGTTCTTTCTTTTAAAGTATGTTGGACATTCTGACTGGTTGTGTCCAAACCCTTTGCACGCACTGTATCCCTTCTGTGTTTGATAGTCCTTCTCTTGGAAACTCCATTAGGATCCTGCTAGTAACTTAAGCAGTTTGGCTCTGATACCAATTGAAATTTATATAAGTGCAGCACACAGTGATGTTGAAACTGACGTTGTAACACAAACGATCTGTAACACAGTTCGGGCAAACAACCCTAATCTGCGAGGCACTTCTCAATTTGAGAACTTGCCTAAATCTACTAAAAGCTCAATATTTAAAGTACACTGTTTGGAACCTGAGATTACACAATAGAATGATCTTTCCTACCAAACTATTGAAATCTAAACACATGTACTACTTTCTAGGGGAATTTAGTATCCTATCCTCAAAGACTCTCGTACCTCACAAGATTAATGTTGAATGTTTGATCCCTGTGATAAAGGACAACCCGTATTTATAGTAGCTACTTCTAACAGATTTGTGAATAATGATGCTATTCCTAATCAGACTAGAACTAGTATTCTTCAATATCTATTCCTTTTAGGACAGTATTCCTTCATAGAACTGGAATCCTTTTTGCACATAACTTTGACAAAGTCTTTGAGTTAACAAGACACATCCGTCCTAGAAGGCGAGAAGCCCACAGAGACAAGAAAATCATGTAGCCATGTGAACCATGCACGTGGAGTCTGTTTGTGTAACACCCCCCCCCCCCCCCCCCCCAAACAAGGCCCACAAGAAAGCCCTAACACATGCAGATTAAACAACAAACTAGCACAGCGGAAGATAAAACAGAAACTGGATAAAAGAAAATCCAAGTCAAGGGGTGTTATGCCACGTCTACCGAACCCGATAAACGCTAAGGCGAACAATCTGCAATTGTAAACATCTAACCCAAAACATCAGTGTAACTACATTGGCGCACAGGCCACAAAAACAAGGATAAAGGTGCTAAGCTACCAAGCTCTAGACATCGCATTCGTCTAAACATCACCTGAAAGATACAAAGATAAACATTGGGACGACGGCCGGTCTGCGATAATGCTGGTAACCCACCAATACTGTTAAGTATCATATGTAGATAGATATAAGTTATAAAACCATTTTCGAAACGGAATACATAAGTATATAAGTCAAAAGCCAAGATCAGTAGACAACACAAGACTCATCACTCTCAAAGATAACACCGAGAACACATCCCAAACCACAAAGGTTAACCACAACACAAAAGGAATAAGACTCACCCATGGCAACACATGCCCTTGTGACTACACACGTCACAAGAAAGAGAACTTACCACAACGGCTACACAAGCCCTCGTGACATCACCCATCACGAGTTGATATGCCTTCCTTATGCCCTGTTCCAACCTTATGGCTACCCCCAACCTTGTACCTTCATGCCAACCATTACCTCCAGGACCCCTGTACTTCTTAGTCCAACCTTTTCCCTTCTGGGACCGTCGTCCCCCACCAACAACCCGCCTACAAGACCACCAATTTCATAGTACACAAGGTACTGTACATGGCAAAACACATGCCCGGATAACACATGTTATCCCCCAATCACGTGAACCTTTCTCGAAGGAACACACCTCCATAATCACGTCATGGCCACCACGAGGACCGCTGCAATACCTTGGTGACTAGCGTCCCATACCACTAATCGTGCAATCCAGGTAAAGTCACACACGCACCACCACTCACACGAGTCAAGCAACGGATTACAACGAAGGTATGAAACCATACTCAATCAAGGAATGGGTCACCACCCAACGACAACAACGATGTATAGCACAAGTTAACATCAACCACACGGAAGGTATGAACAATACACACGCTAGCATTAAGACAATAATCTAGCATGCTTAACAATAGAGAAACTCAAGATAGTTCCGAGGAACTCACAAGACACCTCTTGGTCCAACGAAACACAATGTTGAACACTTAGCACGATTCAAGACACCAAAGTCCTACATGGATACCTACCATATAGTTCTAGACCTACGAAACATCAAGAAGACGCTCAAATAGTTCCACAAAAGAACAACGGGAAGTCAAAAGATCAAATACCGAGACAACGAATCACGGGGAACAAATCCCGATCCACTTCCACTGTGTTCCCCGCGGGTGGACCCATGGGTAGGCCCCTACCCGTGGTTCTTCCAGCGGGTACACTACCCATAAGTCTATGTACCTGCGGGTGGGCGGCGGGTAGGGCTCTCCCCGCCGTTCCGCCCGCGGGTACACGTTCCTGTGCCACAATAATCCCTTCGGGGATTTTCTTCTCCAAACACAAATTCAAGTCCGAAACATGCCAAATCTCACCAAATACAACAAAATGACTTGAACCATGGAAAATGCCAAGCAATGGCACAAAGGAACCCTAAACACAAACTCTAGATATGCAATATCACAAGACAAATGCATAAACCCTCACATTTCATAGCAAAACACAAGTAGAATCCAAGAAATCACATATAGGTAAGCAAAATAGGTTTTGTAGAGCATGGGTTACCTCTTGTAGACCAAAAGACTTCACTTAACACCACCACAAGCTCCCCACAAGGCTTACTTCTCAAACCCACTTCAAGGTCAAACCAAAAGATCATAAAGATCCTACCTTTAAGAAAAAGACAACTAAGATGGAACCAAAAAGACTAGATAAACTTAGATCTTACCCTCCTAGATGCCCAAATAGGTGAAAGGTTGAATCTTGGAAGCAAAACTTGGAATCTTGACAAGGGTCTCAACTTGGCTTGGAGAATAAGCTACACTTCTTTTCTAGAGAGAAGGTAGAGCAAATTTTCTAAGAATTGTAAGGAATGAAATGAAGAAGTCTTCTAGGTTAGGTTACAATACTAACTCTTGGTGAAAAGACAAGAATACCCTTACTAAGCTTTAGAAAGTGTAAGGAACAAGGGAACTCCCCTCAAAGCACAAGGTATAACACAACTTAAAGGTTGACTAGTCAGATACTAGTCCTTGAGTATTAAAAATCAGGATTTTAGGAATCAATTCCTCAAAAGAAATAGAATTAATTACTCAATTAATTCATGGGTTGAAATGTGGATTTTTGGGGTGTCACATCCTCTCCCCCTTCAAAGAAGCTTCGTCCCCGAAGCTTGGGTACGACGAATTAGAAACAAACGGTGGAAGGAAACAACGTTGTGACAAGAAGTTCAAGAATAACTCTTTTGGTTAAAAACTCCAAAAGATTTAACAAGGATTTCAAACGAAAAGAAAGGCAACTGTAATTCAAGAAATCACAAGACACAGGAGGTAGGTTGAGCATCACAAACTCTATTCTCAACGTCCACATCTACTTCTACCCAAACACTAAGAACAAGACACCCAAGACAAAACACCCACTACCAAAACAAAACTAACTAAGCCACAAGCAACACCCAAAGACAAACACGCAAAGCAAACATCCAACGAGGAAAACAAGATACCTTCCACAAACAACTCTGGGTACCGCTCTCGCATGGTTGACTCCAGCTCCCAAGTAGTTTCCTCAACACCATGATGCGTCCACCAAACCTTCACCATCTTAACAGATTTCCTACGAGTGTCCCGAGTCTTAAAGTCCAAAATTCTGAACGGTCTTTCTTCGTAAGACAAATCTTCATCTATCGGTATCACTTCTGGTGGTAAGACATGGGCCGGGTCGTGAACATATTTCTTGAGCTGTGATACGTGGAACACGTGACCAAAACGTTTACAAATTTGACACGGATCATCAATGCCACGTCGTTGACTAGACCGCTTCTCATACGGTGTATCTTGGTTCGATGTCATCGGCTACTGCTACGAAGCAAGGTGACGCCGTGTCTTTACAATAAATTAGTTTGGTTCGATGCCATCAGAAAAACCCTAGCTAACTGATGCCAGATGAGAATATAATTGTGTTGTATTCAATGATAATGTCTAAGAGTACAGGGAGCGAATATATGGAGATGCTAGATAGAATCCTAGTCTAACACGAATAATATAGTCCTAGTCTAATATAAATAATATAGTCCTAATAATTGTAAGTCTTGATTAGATCATTGTAACACCCCCCAAAAACAACACAAGACCTAAAAACAAGTCTTAACACATGCAGATTAACAACAAAACTAGCACAGCGGAAGAAAACGGAAACTGGATAAAAGAAATCCAAAACAGGGGTGTTATGCCACGTATACCACACTAGGTAACGCTAAGGCGACAATCTGCAAGTGTAACACACTATCCCAAAACATCACTCTAAAAACAATCTAAAACCATTGGCACGCAGGCCACAAAACACAGTCTAAAGATACAGGTGCTAAGCTACCGGCTCTAGACATCGCGCTCGACTACTCAACACCTGAAAGATACAAAGATAAACATCGGGGCAACGCCCGGTCAGTGAAAGATGCTGGTAACCCACCAATACCGTTAAGTATCATAAATAGGTAGATATAAAATATAAAAACCATTTTCGAAACGGAATACATATATATAAGTCAAAAACCAAGATCAAAAGACAACACAAGACTCACCACTCCTAAGGATACACCGGGAACACATCCCAACCACAAAGGTTAACCACACACAAGGATAAAGACTCACCCAACGGCAACACATGCCAAACAACACAAGCCTCCGTGACTACACACATCACGAGAGAAGATCACACAACACCGGCTTTCAAAGCCCTCGCAACATCACCCATCGCGAGTTGGTATGCCTATCTTATGCCCTGTTCCAACCTTATGGCTACCCCCAACCTTGTACCTTCAAAGCCAACCATTACCTCCAGAAATCCCCTGTACAGCCAAGTCCAACCTTATTCCGCCGGGACCGTCGTCCCCCACCTATAACCACTAACGAAAACCCACCAATCACGGCAACACATGCCCGGATAACACAATGTTATCCCCCAATCACGTGGACTCAGCCACAACTCCATAATCACGTCACGGCCACCACGAGGACCGCTGCAATACCTTGGTGACTAGCGTCCCATACCACTAATCGTGCAATCCAGGTAGAGCCACACACGCACCACCACTCACACGAATCAATCAACGGATTGCAAAGAAGGTATGAAACACACTCAATCAAGAGACGGGTCACAGCCCAACAACAACAACGATGAATAACGCAAGTTATCATCCACCAAACGGAAGGTACGAACAACACACACGCTAGCATTAAGACAACGAACTAGCATGCTTAACAACGGGGAAACTCAAGATAGTTCCGAGGAACACACAATACACCTCTTGGTTCAATGAAACACAATGTTGAACACTTAGCACGAATCAAGACACCAAAGATCCTACATGGATACCTACCATATAGTTCTAGACCTACGAAACATCAAGAAGACGCTCAAATAGTTCCTCAAAAGAACAACGGGAAGTCAAAAGATCAAATACCGAGACAAACAAATCACGGGGAACAAATCCCATCACCACACCACTGTGTTCCCCACGGGTGGACCCACGGGTAGTGCCCCACCCGTGGTCCTGCCCGCGGGTACACTACCCACAAGGCAACATGTTCCCCGCGGGTAGGCCGGCGGGTGGTGCCCCGCCCGCCGTTCCGCCCACGGGTACATCCCTGTACCACAACAAATCCCTTCGGGGATTTTCTCCTCCAAACACAAATTCAAGTCCAAAAAACACCAAATCTCACGAAACACAACAAAATGACTTGAATCAAGGAACATGCCAAGCAATGGCACAAAGGAATCCTAAACACAAGCTCTAGATATGCAATATCACAAGATAAATGCATAAACACTCACATTTCATAGCAAAACACAAATAGAAGCCAAGGAATCATATATAGGTAAGCAAAATAGGTTTTGTAGAGCATGGGTTACCTCTTGAAGACCAAAAGACTTCTCTTACACCACAACAAGCTCTCCACTAAGCTCACTAGCCAAACCCACTTCAAGATCAAACCAAAAGATCATAAAGATCCTACCTTTAAGAAAAAGACAACTAAGATAGAACCAAAAAGACTAGACAAGCTTAGATCTTACCCTTCTAGATGCCCAAATAGATGAAAGATTGAATCTTGGAAGCAAAACTTGGAATCTTGACAAAGGTCTCACTTGGCTTGAAGAACAAGCTACTCTTCTTTCCTAGAGAGAAGGTAGAGATATTTTCTAGGAATTGTAAGGGATGAAAATGAAGAAGTCTTCTAGGTTTAGGTTACAAAACTAACTCTTGGTGAAAAGACAAGGATACCCTTTCTAACTCTTAGAAAGTGTAAGGAACAAGGGAACTCCTCTTAAAGCACAAGGTACAACACCACTTAAAAAATTGACTAGTCAAATACTAGTCCTTGAGTATTAAAAATTTGGATTTTAGGAATCAATTCCTCAAAAGAAATAGAATTAATTATCAATTAATTCATGGATTGGAGTTTGGATTTTTGGGGTGTCACAATCATATAGGAGCAGATCAGATTTATTTGTTTGTAAGAAACAATATATATTGATGTTGAAAAGTAAAGTAAAAATGTTTTAGATAGATTTCGATCAATAGCTTAAAAAAGTATTGATATCTCTAATCAATATGTTCAATTAATTACTTAATTATTCAAATGTCAATGATGTTAGAAAATTACTTCTTTCGATCTTTATTAGTCCATAATTAATACTCAAAAACTCTTGTAAGATTCACTTCTCATTTTTGGAAGATTAAACATATTATTTTAGTAAAGTTTTAAATCTCCAATTTTAAACCTAACGATTATTGATAGTTTTCAATCTATGCTTTGGTTTTTGTTCATTTAACTACTAATTTATGATTTGATAAATGTTTATAGTCCATCCAATTTTGATTGTGGTGTAGTTGTGATTAACATGGCATTTCAATCAAAATGAAATTGAATTTTGTATTGGAATATAAAATGATATTATAATTGAAATTACTCTTGCATGAAATGTGTATCGAAATTATAAGGGGAAAATAATTTATATAGACTTACGATTTTCCTCACAAGTAAAATTTTAACTTCGAAATTATATTTTTCATTAAAATTATCACTTTTTTCTTCATAAGTATTACACTTTATCTCATATGTAAAAATCTGATGATTTTGTTGGGACCGGGTCCATCATAAACCGAGTATATAAGTACAGAATGGAGAGTAGGAGACATGTTTGCCGGTATGTTGTTACACGATGCACAAGCCTGTATGGTTGACTGCACAAATGAATTGGGTGTATGCTTGTGAATTAATCATTTCCGCGCAATGATATTTCACATAGACCAATATGAGTAAGAACATTTCACATGCACATAGCTTTCTTAAAAGTTACATATATCCATATAAGTAAGGATGTTGGTATTTAAAGTACTTAAAAGTACGGATGATGCACACGGTAATAGCCTTAGATGCACAAGGATAACACGTCCAGAGCATGTTTTATAATGATAATGATCAATGCACAAAATATATGAAGAAATGTTGCACAGTTCATATAATTTAAACATGCACATAGCATTCTAAATAGTTGCACATATACATATAATTAAGTATGTTGGAATTTAGAGTACGTGTGATGCACACGGTACTAGCCCACGTCAGAGGGCTAAAGTAGGTGAGATTAGTCTTGACCAGATCCTTCATCTTCATGTGCATGACGTTCCATTGTGCATGACTCGTTGGCTTCTAGAGAATTTTGGCCTAAAAAATACGATTTTGAGGGTTGAGAACGGAGTTGTTATTCCAGTGCAACTTGGGCTAGTACCATGTACGATTCTTTCATTCGGCAACACCGTTCGATTGAGGTGCGTAAAGTGCCGTATGCTCGTGTATGATACCTACACTTGCACAGAAGTCACCAATTGGTGCTTCGTACTCACCACCTCTATCGCTTCCAACCTTCTTAATTCTCCGATTAAGTTGGTTTTCCACTTCATTCTTATAAAGAACGAATTTATCAACGGCTTCATCTTTGCTCTTAAGCAAATATACATAGCAGTATTGTGTGCTATCGTCGATAAACGTAATAAAATACTTATTACCACCTCTCGTTTGTATCGATCTAAAATCGCACAAATTACTATGGATTAATTCTAGTGGTTCAGTTTCCCTTTCAACCGATTTGAAAGGTACTTTCGTTAGTTTTGCCTCAACACAAATTTCGGACTTGTTATTTGTGTTAATTTGGAAGTTAGGAATATGGTGCATGCTAATTAATCTACGTATAGAATTAAAATTAACATGACCTAGTCTACCATGCCACAAATTGGAAGACTCTAGCAAGTAAACAGAATTAACTTTGCTTTTATTGATAACAGGAATTACACTGAGCTTAAAAAGCCCATCAATTACATATCCTTTACCAACAAACATTTCTAACTTAGACAAAACTACTTTGTCTGACTCGAACACCATGTGGAACCCATGCTTGTTCAGCAGCGAGACAGACACAAGATTCTTCCTCAGCTCAGGAACATACAGCATGTTGTTCAACGTCAGTTTCTTCCCGGAAGTCATCTTCAGAACCACTTGCCCATGCCTTCCCTAGCATACTGAGCAGAGTTTCCCATCCACACCTTTTCATCCTCAACGGTTTCAAAAGTGTTGAACATCTCTCGGTTGCAACATAAATGGCTGGTTGCACCAGTATTAATGAACCACTCACGTGGGTTAGAGCCCATGAGGTTCACCTCCATCACCATAACCGAAAGGCTAATCTCGACCTCCTTCTGACGGCTCTCTCAAACAACGTTGTCTTCAAAACTCTTGTTCTTCTTCCTTGGATCTTTGCATTCGGACGCTTTGTGGCCAGGCTTGCCACAATTGTAGCATTCACCAAGAAACTTGTTCTTGGTAACACCACTTTTCGGACCTAGCTTTCGCTTGTCCTTCTTGTTCCTCTTGGAGCTTTTACCATGCTCTACAACGTTGGCCTTAACACCACTAATGACAGGAGCTCTCCCATCATTCGTCATGTTCCGTTCCTCAATCCTGAGTCGCTGGATCAGGTCCTCCAGGTTCATCTCCTTTCGCTTATGCTTAAGGTAATTTTTGAAGTCCTTCTAACCTGGAGGCAATAAGTGGATCACAGATCCTACTTGGAAGGCTTCACTTAGAACCATGCCCTCATCACGGATCTCGTCAAAGATTAGTTGCAAATCTTCTACCTGACTTAGCACGGTCTTTGAATCAACCATTTTGAAGTCGAGGAATCGGCCAACCACAAATTTCTTTGAGCCGGCATCCTCACTTCGGTATTTATGATCCAAAGCTTCCCAAAGCGCTTTTGATGTGCTTATCCTTCGATATACATTGTATAGCGCATCCCTCAATCCGTTCAGGATGTAGTTTCGGCAAAGGAAGTTCGAATCCTTCCAAATGCCAATT